GCAAGGTGTTACTGTTAAATTTGAGGTCTACTTCGGAAACCCAGGTTCTCATCAGACATTGTATGTCTCCACTGGTGTGCCTTAAAAATAGAGTAACTCCTGATCCCAGTTCCCTTAGTTATCATTTTGCATATAAAATCTAAAAATTTGGATTCTAATTTTAAGTGAACTCTGATGAAATCACCTTACCCAATTTTGCCTCTATTGTATATCACAAAAAGAACAAAACCCAGTATTTTCCTTTCTTGTCATGTTTCTTTGTAACACCTAGCTGTTTGAGAAGCAAAGCAATGCATATCAAAATAACAGGTAAATGGGTCGGCCATCATGTAGTTTAATGGCCAAAGTAGACTCATGTTTTTGAGTTCAGCCTCTGAATTAAATGAATGGAGCAATTTTCTTTTTATACTGTGTTTTTGAGTCTGGCTGGTCACATGAACCAATTTATCTGACTGGCTTTGCTCTCATGATTTTTTGCCCATATGTTTGGCCCAAGCTGATGAGTAACATTTTTTTTCCCTTGAAGGAAAGTTAAAAAAATTTTTTTTCTTTCTTCTTTCTTCATTTCTCCTCTTTCATCCTTCTATTGTCTGACTTCTAACTTTCAAAATATAAGCCCTTTTGGCTGTGGGGACCATGATCTCAGGGAACATCTAGCCCAATTGGCACAACACAACATAGTTTATAAGGAAAATGTTCTACATTCTAATTTGGTGAGTAGCGTCTGGGGTCTTAAAAGTTTGTAAATGACCATCTAAGATACTCCACTGGTCTCACCTTGTTTGGGGCAAGAGAGAGTTAAGAAAACCAAAGACACAAGAGAAAGATTAATCCAAATGATTAATGGACCACAAATATGACAGCCTCCACCAGACTGAGTTCAGCACGACTAGATGGTGCCGGGCTATCACCACCAACTGCTCTGACAGGGATCACAATAGAGGTCCCAGCCAGAGCTGGGAAAAATGTAGAACAAAATTCCAACTCACTCAAAAAAAAAAAGACCAGACTTACTGGTCTGACAGAGACTGGATAAACCCCAAGAGTATGGCCCCTGGACACCATTTTAGCTCAATAATGAAGTCACTCCTGAGGTTCACCCTTCAGCCAAATATTAGACAGGCTCATAAAACAAAATGAGACTAAATGGGCACACTAGCCCAAGGACAAGGTCGAGAAGTCACGAGGGGACAGGAAAGCTGGTAATAGGAAACCCAAGGTAGAGAAAGGGAGAGTGTGGACATGCCTTGGGGTTGGCAACCAATGTCACAAAACAATACGTGTACTAATTGTTTAATGAGAAGCTAGTTTGTTCTGTAAACACTCATCTAAAGTACAATTGAAAAAAAAAGACACATTCACTTAAAAAAAAGAAAATCTAAACCCTTTTAACACGACGTGTCAGAACATAGCTTGTAGAATTTTGGTTGTGAAATAACCCTCAACCAACTCAGGTTTTTGTTTTCAAACTGCTATTAATGTGGATGAATCCTCTGACTCCATACTTTAGTATCTGACCCTCATGCAAATAATTGGCAACATGTAGTATAATGATTAAGAGCATGGCCTCTACATTACTCAAAGTAAGCAATGTTCTGCTGCTGTAACCAATGACCGCACAAACACATGGCTTAAATCAACAAAGGTTTATTGCTCATTCACATCATAGTTCAAAGGGAGTCATGAGGTCCTTCTCCATCTTACAGCTGCACAATCTGGAATACAGGACCTTCAAAGCTGCCACCGAAGGAGAAGAGAGAAATGGAGAATGAACTTGGACTCCATTCTCGACCACTTAGGCTGAAAAATGACATTCTGCTCTGCATCCTTCGGCATATGGATATTTGGTTGAGTGCTGCATACCTCCGCCATGGTCTCAAAAGCCAGGATGCCTCAGTTCAAATCTCAGCTCTGCTAGTTAGCAGCAATTTCGCCTTGGCAAGTTACTTAACCTCTCTGTGCCTCAGTTTCCTCATCTATAAAAATGGGTACATGTTTAGTAGAGGCAATATCCATGATTGGCATCTATCTGTTAGGGTTGTGGGAATTAAATGAGTTATTCATAAAAGTGCTGAGGACAGTATCTGGTACATAGTAAGCAACAATAAGCGGTTTTAGAAACATGGTTCTTGATATATATCATCTTCAGAAATAGAGTCGGTATGTATTTGTTATTTATCTCACTGCCAATCATCAAGAGCAAAGAAAGAATAGCCAAGGCAGAAGCTGGGGAGAAGAACACTGCTTATACCTGCTAACAGCATATGACTTTGAATTTCCCTGCCATCCTTGAGAGATGCTATTATATACATGGAACAGCTGGTGTACGCTCTTCTGTTAGAGTCTGATACGTCTATAGTATGAGATAGGAATGATGTTTGTGTGCTGGGGCTGGGTGGCAAAGCTTGGGGATTATAAAAGAATTCCTGGTGGCACAAATAGTTAAGTTCTCAGCTGCTAACTGAAAGGTTAGTGATTCAAACCCACCCAGAAACTCTGCGGGAGAAAAACATGAAGATCTCAATCCACGAGATTACAGCCAAGAAAACCCTATCGGGCAGTTCTACTCTGTCACATGACATCACTATGAGTCGAAATCGACTCAGTGGCACCCAACAACAAACATTTAAGAGAAATTTGAATTATTTTGTGTATTTTTCTCTGGAAATAGTCCATGTTTTCATTAGCTCCTTAAAGGGACCTGTTAGTTGAACATATTTAAGATCCGTTGTCTCTAGTACTTTGTAAGCATGGCTATTAAAATAAGAAAGGAAGAATTCAGGAGATGGGGGCCCCATGTCATGATAGACACAGTGCCCATGACTGGATCTGAAAGTTCTGTGATTTCTTTTCCAGAGAAGAAAATCAGCAAAAGGGAGAGGATTTTGAGCAGTTTTGGCAGGGATTCCATCTCCCGGGAATATATAGCTCCCCTCCACCTCGTCAGTCTCCCACTGGCCCATCTTCTCTCAATCAGGCAGGTAATTGGCTATAGAAGAAGGGCTGCTCTGGAAAGTGAATTCTAACCCTTGAAAACCTATTGAGGACCTGAAAGTAAGCCACTAAATCTATTTAGCAAATCTCTGAAGCTAAGATAGCCTCGGTTCTGTGAGTAGGGGTAGACAGAGCAGTAGCCAGAACTAAAGGATATGTGGTATTTATTTCATGCTTTTTTGCCAGAGTTGGTAGGAGAGAGTTAAAAGACTGTATATGAGCCGTTTTCTGAAGTCACCTTACACCCTGCTTTCCTTCTCATAACATGTCTCCATGGATCATTAATGTGTTTACAAGCAGATTACTTTTGTATGAAGTATTTATTAACCCTTATTATTAAGATGCATGTGTTTTGCTGGCAGCATCAGCTTAGAGGCCTATAAAGCACATGATAGAAACCAGCATGCATAGGGAAGGACTCCTCTGTCCGTAGACCATGAGCAAGTAAGTCACCATCTCAAATGGTGATGAACTAACAAGAAAATACAATTGAAAAACACACCTGAAAAATGTATTACATAAAATAATTTACTTCTCATTCAGAATGACCTCCCAGAACCCATGTGAAACAGCAGTCTGTGAGTACAGGTACAATCTGAAAGTCATGACAGTTATAATAGGGCAAGACCAAGAGAGTTACATGTTTATATCCTGCAGTCAACTAGAGACAGAATTGTGCGACTATGTGTAACAGAAAGGAACTCTGGTTAGGAATTCCTGGGACATTGAGAGCAAGATTGCCAGAGTCAAGAAAGGTACAATTGAGAAAAACTATATCATTAATACGATGGGACTTGTATACACACACTCTGGTGTCTTCATTTTGTACTCCAGCATATTAACTTAAAAACCACCAAGGTCCTCATGCGTGTAATTTATAATGGAGAAATTGGTGCGATGTGTGTGTATGTGTATGTATGTACTTTCAAAAGCAGTAGCTTTAGAAGAATGAGAAGAAAATTACTTCCTGGCCATTCATTAAAAATTCAGGTGATATCCTGCACCTCCATGTATAAAACAATACAATAATAAAAACATTATACAAAACAACATCATAAATAACATAAATGAGGAATTTTCAAGTATTTCATGTGCCTTGAAAAGTTCCAAGCAGTAGTTCTAACAATGGATATCTTTTTTCTTTTTCCCCTTCTCATTTAATTGCAGGGTCTAGAAAGAAATGCTTTTGGTCTCTGTTAGCCCTGAAGCTCAGGATGAAATGGACAAGATTCTCCCTCAAAAGAGAGAATGTCTGAGGGCTTTTCAGTTTGTGAAAAAGTGTTTCCCATTTATAAAATATAGTCTTTCCCCAGCTGCTGCTTTGTAACGGTAGACATATAGCCTAGAGCCATTAGGAAAAAAACAGAAAAAAACCCAAAATGAAACAATGAACTAAGAGAGGGGGCCCTCATCTGATGGCTAAAGTTCTTAGGAAAAAACAAAGTGGTAAGAGCACCTTGAGAAAGAGAGGAAGAAAGGATAGAAGATAAGAATAGTAACCTTGAAATTCCATACCCTTGCTCAGCCAGTATCTTATGGTAGGTAGAGCTGGCAAGGCCCTAACTGCATGTCTTCATTTACATCAAGTATCCCATCTCCCAACTCCATGCCAACCCCAGCTGCTAGAAGCCATGCACCAAGCACCCAGGCAAAGAAGGGAAGGCCAGCAGCTTTGGGATTCAAAAGTGCCATTAGCGATTACAACGACCTGAGGCAACACTGTGTTACTCAGGTATATGATTCTTTATGCTATTTTCTCCTTAGAATACTGCTCATCTTGGAAGCTGTCAGTAGTCAAATTAAGCATGACTGCTTCTTGAGCAAGACATATGGAGTTTTACAGAATCAACTTGGCACAGGTTAGCATTCCTTTCTTAGCCTGTCTGATACGTCAGTTTGCCCTGTTCCAATGCAGCATGAAAGATCAGGGATCCAAACATGCATGTAGGTATGTGCATACACTCTAGTTATGAGCACCTAGGGTCTCTCCCATCTTCTTTTGCAGAAATATACACACACATACATATGTACATATAATAGATCAACCTCATCTAAAGCTTGCAGAAAGTGCTAGCTAACAGAATACGTGTACATATGTGGATGTCACATGAAGTGTACCAACCAACCACCCTGAGGTCAAACTGTTGGGAGGAGAGATCTGCTGACAATCTTTGAAAGCCAGATCTACAAGGCCAATACTTGGATACTTGCTCAAATGGCACCCTAAAAGAAATTTGGGGAAATTGGACTAGAATGTGGTCCCACCCTGATGAACACCAAAAACACCAAAATGAAATCTAGTTTCTACATGAGAGTGACTCGCACATGCCAGGCAGCATGGATACTAGGCTACAAAGTGATTAAAGCACTGGTGCTTAATACAGATTGATATTTGGCCTCGGGTTTCCAGAGCATAGAGTCTTGGCATTTCAGCCATCCACCTCCCAGTGGGAATTAGGCACACTGGGGGACCAGGGAAGCACAGTCTGCAGAACTCTTGGCTCCTTTCTGCTTTTCTGACCCACAGCTGGAAGGGTTGGCCAAATCAAAATAAAATCTGGACTTGAGGAAGCGGCGGTATGAATCCTTCTCCATCAGGTTAAAAATCTTCTTCTGGGCCTCATCAAAGCATGTTATTGTAGGTTCCAGCATGTTCCGGCTTGTCTCCTCCCTGGTGCAAGCATCCAAGTTCACCTGGAAGGCAAAGACCATGGCTTCCATTAGACATCTCATCCTGCTGAGGGTGGGAGGCTGCGTGCTTCTTACTGAACAATGACCCCAGAAAAAGAAGAATGTACATTTAGGCCCCACCCTGGCCCATGTGAAAGAGCATAACAGGTTGACTGCTTCAAGGTGGGCAGGCCAATATTTTCTCTTCTCACTCACTAACTGGGGAGATTCATCAGAAAAATTCATTAAGGGTGCTCATCTAGTCATCTGGATGGAAGAGCTCTTTTTCTTTACTGATGTATTTGAGGTTGTCAAGACCATAATGACCTGTTCTACTATTATATATTTTCCTTTAACTCACATGTTCTAACTTCCCATGACATTTACTGCTACTTCTAGAAAAAGTCACTAAGACCCAGGGAGTTCGCTGCCATGAAAACTTACCTCTTTTGTTGCCTGGACTGAGATGAATTCATTATAGATCTTCTTGGCCTTGGGGCTTAGTTTGGAGGGTGATTTGATTTTCTTGTACTCTTCACAGCTGATCCAGAAATCAATGTTCTCCTCACTGTATTCAGACTTCAAGAAAGCTTTGAAAGCTGCCAGCCCACCTGTGACATGGGAGAAAGAACAACAGTTATCATCACACTGACTAACCTCTTGGATATTACGTTTCAGAAAAAGCTAATGTACCTGGGGGAATAAGACATGGGTTGAAGCAATCTCCCTTTTCTCCCTACTTTGAGGGTCACTGAGGGTCAGGTAACCCTGATTTGCGTCTGGTATCTACTGGATCCCAGCTATACCTAGTAATTCTTGCTCAAGATTTGAAGCCTCTTTCAAAAACTGATGAGCTATTTCAATAAAAATTGTTTTGTTTCTGAAATGCCTATGCAGCTACCAATTGCAAAGGTGGGTTTGGGAGAGAGAAACTGAGGTTGATTCTGCAAGAGTTCAGTATTTAGAAACTTTTTTTCTTTTTATCCTTTTTTTCATGTGGTGAGAGATAGTTTTCCACACGGTTCCTGTATTAACTTTCCATGGTATTATCACAAAGCTCTAGAGCATGGTAAAATTTTAGCAGACTGGATATAAGACCGAAAGATACTCCTGCATCTGGAAGTCAGAAGGAACACTGGCCTTTCTGCAGTTCTTACTAGGCCAAGCATGTTGTCATTGTTGTTAGGTGTTGTTGAGTGGATTCCGACTCAGAGCTACCCTATGTACAACAGAACAAAACACTGCCCGGTCCTGCACCATCCTCACAATCCTTATCCACAGTGTATTTATCCTAATCCTGAGGCTGGGGGTGGAATAGGGAAGCTGTCAGACTTACATTCATGGCTAATCAGGTTTTCCAAGGATTCAGCCCATTTCTTGACTTCCTCTTGGCTCACCCTAGAGACATTAAAAAGAATGACTTGAAGGCCTCGATGCAATTGGGACAAGAAAACAACAATCCTTAATAAGCTGAACAATTTTATTTTCCATCCTTATAATGCGAACTTTGATTGATTAGGTGCCGTTTTCAATAAGTGTATGGAAATTTCAAAGGCAATTCTGAACTCCACGAAAATGGAGATCATTTTGATCCTGGTCTGACTTAATTAGGGCCATAACTTCCTTTTCTCCTTATACAACAGCTCTGTCATTATATAGCTAACGTTCAAGGGCCTTTCTCTTACCTCTGGCAAATGACAACTTTGTCCTTCTTGCTGTGGGAAGAATTATGTTCACAGGAATCAGACTTCTGCAGCAGGAAACCTAGCCGATGCTTCATATCTTTTGCACTGCAGAGAAGAGGAAGAAAGAATTCTTAATGATTACCTAGCTCTCTTTAAAAGACAACCTAGTGATAGAGCTTGAGGAGTCCAGTACTGGAATAGGGTACAGAGGCAGTTTATTTAGGGAGTCAGAATTGGAACAAACTCTCAGGAAAATGGGACTCCATTTCTGCTTCTGCCTGTGACTTACTACAAAACCTTGAGGCCAGAGTCACAGCCTAGACTCCTTTTTGAGTAACTGGAATTCTGATCCTCTAGTCTATCTCAATGGCTTTATTGTGGACCCATCATTTTGGCTATTGAAACACTTTGGTATGTTCAATAAAAACACATTGAAAACATGAATGGTCTTTGGGTAACTTTTGGAACTGCAAGACATGTCACCTCCTTACTGCATGCCACCTTCTGGTGGGTGGTTGTTATGTCCATCTGCCTCACTGTTGGCCAAAAGGAAGCTACAGAAACACCTTGGGAAGGCAGTGGTCTATTCTGTTCCAGTCATGGATGTGGTTGGCCAAGCAAGTCATACTATGGGATGTGCATGGACTATAAGGTGTGCAGCAGCAGCAGAGGGAAGTGGAAAATGGAGTTGGGGGGTGATAAAACATACACTGACTTGCAGGTCTCAGGTGTCTAAAACTTGACCTCCTTCAGACATGTTTCTAGGGAATCTCTTACTGCTGCTGCTGATGTTGCTTTTTTTTTTCTTTTTAAATATATAGACTATAAAAGGTATTTATGCTCCAAAGGGTGTTTGAGGCTTAAAAATAACCAGAAGCTAGTAAGAGTCCTTACTGAAGCTGGTGAGCATTTCATTAGAATAGAGCATCCAGCTTATTGCCAGTGTTACCAGGTAGCTAGGGTACAGCAGGGCTCCTGACTTACTCTACAATGAGGACTTTTTAATAAGCTTTTAGCTCAACTTTCCCACTCTATGAATTATCCTTTTGCTTGCATCTCTTCTAAAGCTAAAAAAATAAATAATTTTTTTTTAAGAGAAATCCCATTTTAAAGGAATGAATGACCAGCTGCTCCTACTTAGAGGGGGAAAGCAAAGACACAAAGATAAAAAATTTTTTTGAAAAGCTAGTTGGAACCCTGGTAGTGCAGTGGTTAAGAGCACAGGCTGCTAACCAAAAGGTTGGCGGTTCAAATCCACCAGCTGCTCCCTGGAAACCCTATGGGGCAGTTCTACTCTGTCCTATAGGGTCACTGTGAGTTAGAATCAACTCGACAGCAAGGGGTTGTTTTTGGTGCTGATATGCTAGAGACTTGTCTATGTCAGTTTTTCCCCACAAGTTTGAATTCCATTATGTTCTTGGACTCTCAAGAGTCTCCCTCACAAGACTGGTTTTCCTTCTCTGTTCCCTCTGCTGGTGAATGTTCAGAGGACGCAAAATCCTCCTTAATAATAGCACAATATAGTCATATAGTCATGGCAGCTAACCTGAGTCTAAGGTGATGATATAAGTAAATTGTGATTCAGTCCAAACAGAAATCATTTCATATTCCCATATGCCTGAGTCTTTCTGAGAACTGTTAGCTATTTACTACTGCAGGGTCATTTCATGAAGAACTGGAAGTATGCTTAACACATAAGTTACTTGCTGTTGCAACATAATACAACCAAATACAAAAACCAAAATTGTCTCAGAGGTCACTGGAGTCAGGGAACCTGGATTTGGTCCTTGCTCTGCCCCCCACCACCTATGTGACCTTGAGCAGCTCATGTCACCTCCGGAGCCTCGGGTACTAACACTGGGATGAAGGTGTTGGATTAGATGGGTTACATTTCCCTCATGAAGAGAGTGAAGGCCAGTTCTCCCTGCTACCGCGGAGTTCACTTGCAGATGTTAACTTTTTAGCTGCTTGAGGACAGAGCTCCTGGGCAATCTTTTGTCTGTCTCCCAAAATGTTTACCAGAACATAACTTTCTCCTGACCCTCTTGGTATTTTGTATGATTAATAGCATCTGTGAGTTAACTGAAGCATGGAGTGATTTGCTCCATTCATTTCAGGAAAGTAATGGTGGTTGTCAGAGGCATTGATATCATAGGCACTCTCTGTCGGACCCTCCTGCTTCATTTTACAGAAGCCATGAATAATTTCTGTAATCCTGAATGACAAAATATTTGAAAGGTCAGCTTCTTAGTCATGCTCAAAAGACTGTGCTTTCTGGAATTATTTCCAAATTAAAATTTAAGGTGATCTATATTTGCAGGGGACAGGAGAGGAGGTGAGATATCTTCAGTTTGACTTTTTACCTTTAACTTCAAAATTAAGCACTGGATTTTTTTTTTTTCTAACTGGTGTTCCCTGAGAGCATTCATTTATACCTTTTTAAAAAGCCACAGACATATCAATAACTCCATATCTTTAAGATTTTCTTTTTAACCAAGAGATAGTACATTGGGGGAAGAAAAAACACAAACCAATGTCTTGAGGATGAGATCTTCTACAGAATACTTAATTGATTTATTATGATCAATACTTCCTCTCAACCACCACTTACATAAGCCATTTAAAGAACTGCTAAGGGGGGCAAAGAGAAAAGGGAAATGTAATTTTGAAAATCATTTCTTATTGTAACATTTGCTTATAAGACACAGAGAGTGAAAGATGCTACAGCACCACACAGACAGCAGAGTACATTTCTGGTGATAAACACAAAACTCATAATGGGGCATCTTCCTCTAAAAAAAAAAAAAGAGATCTAGTACACCCTTAGAAAGCCTATAGCCCAATTCTATGGACCCTGGTGATGCTCAAATAACAGTAATCACAGGTGGAGATATTATAGTCCTAAAGCCTCTTATCACTTCTTAACTAGACAGCTAGTTTGGCTAGAGGACTTGGCTTAAAAACCAGAATAGCTCTCAAAACTGAGTACATATAGTTACTGGAATTTGGGGAGAATACCTCTTAAGTCACAATTTCTAGCTAGTCTTATAGGGAAACTAGGAAGATGATGCTCTCCTGACCACATTGCTTTTAATCCCAAAGAACTGGGTTAGTAAGTAGGATATGTAAAATAACTGAGAAAGTCTAGGCAAAAGTTTAACATCATTAATAGCTGAAAATAATCTTACCTCTTCAAGCAAGAAGCTGGAAGACCTGCGAGTCCTTTGCACATCTTGTTGCCTGTTAGATCTGCAAGTCAAGAAAACAGATGCAGCAGGAGGAGCTGTGGCTTCTGTTTGGAGTGCACTTTGCCTTTTCTCCCAGAGCGATGCTGTCAGAATCCTCTGCACTTCTCCCTCTCAAGCCTGCAGGGGTCTCTTTTATAGCCCAGCCACTACGGTCCAGCCAATCAGATGGCAGCTCTGTAATACCAACTCCTCTCTGCCTTCCTCTGCCTCCTCCAGCCCTGTGAGAGATAAGAAAGAAAAGACTGACGCATCGGCAATGCAAAGTGAATAAAAGGGGAGAAAACCCTTTCACAAAGTAGACATACAGAAAACAGAAATTTACCCAGTGTCTCAATCAGTGTCGGAAGTATTGAATTTCTAGAACAGGAAAAGAAAAAAATAAGAGTTTACAGGGCTGCAAAACATGGAGCTTATTCACCTGTCTGTAACAGCAATGTCAAGGAAAGTCGCCTCCCAGAAAGAAAGGTGCCAGCAGGAGTCCATGGGCTTACTTTGGGGCTGACTCCCAATGCACTTCCTTTTTTGGATTAGAAATCTTGTATCGTACATGGTCCAAGATCTGATCCTCACTATTTCCAAAAAGGAGTTGGCAAGATTATCATCTCCAGGCAGTAATTTGCAGAAGCTGCATTCTGAATTGTCACGTGCCCACAGGAGTGTGGGGAGGAATAGTTGGATGGCAGGAGGATATTTGCCTGGCAGCATAGAAAAGCCAGTCTGAAGAAAGTGGATTAATTACACATCCGTCATCAGCCTGACTTTTTCTAGAAATCTTACTGAGAACAGAATTAAGCTAGCACTGATAATCTCTCCTCTCCATGCATGCCTCCTAGATAAAGCCCAAAACAGCAGCTTGAGGACCAGAGGAGGAAGTAAAACGAACACATACAGAAACCATTTTTCTTTGCAAACGAGTTTATGTCATATGTAATTCTAGGTCTCCAAAATGATATTCCAAAAGGAAAAAGAGAGAGAGGGAGGAAGCAAGCAGGCAGGAAAATGTATAGTTTGTCTTGCATATCACCAGGCTTCGGATAAGCATAATGCTTGGTCCTACAGGTACTTTCAAGTAGGTGGACAATTAGTATTTTTGGCACACAGCATGATGGACTGAAAACTTCCAAGAATCATACAGGTGTTCCACATCTCATAACTCAAATACTCACACCAGAGTTACAGAGGGATCCTCTTCACGTAGGCAAAGCTGTAAGTGGAAGGAAGAAATTGCTATGTCTGAATAGAACAACTTTGATTTGAAAGCAGATAGGTTCCTTATCATAAGATATAGTGAACTGTACATGTAAAAAGCAGAGGTATCAAATGGTTTAGTTGGGGAAGATGAAAAATAGATGGGTTCTAATGATATGTAAAGGTATTCAAGAAGATAAAAAGGGAAAATGGCAGGAGACATATGTCCCCCTGCCCCATCTGTGCCTCTGAACATCCCATACTGCCACCTGACCCCACCTAGCAAAGCAAGGGGATGTCAGAGAAATGGAAGAAGGTGGAGGAACCATTCTCTCTAAATTATAGAAGAAAGCCTCTAGCCTTAATGGGAGACCAATTAAGGCTGAAAACCATTTATTAGAATCACCGCTGGGCAATATTGCCTTGAGGTATAACATAGAACAACTAAATTTTCTTTGTGTAGCTGGCAGCTGTCCTTGGTGCTATTGTGGAAGGGAAGGTTATCAAGCCAGGAAAGGTAGGAGCAAGGAGATGAACCAGCTAGAACTGGCAACAAAGACAAGAGACTAAATGGGAGAGAAGTTTACCAGAAATGAACCAGGGCCTTCTTTGCTTAGTTGAGTACCCAAGGGAGCTATCACTCAAATAATATGGTTTTAGGAACAAGTGGGGAAAATCCAAAAAAGTTTACTGATTCTCGAAATTCCACAATGAAAACTTTATTTCCTGAGCATAGATCAAAAAGAGGCCTAATTTGTCATGGGTTAATATAAACAAACCAGATA